CCACCACGATGACCGTCACGGTTATGGCCACGATGCTCCCTGCGGAGGGAGGGTCCATCAGAAAGGGTAGCGCTGAGCCCTGCCACGTCCCAGCCCCGCAGCACCCACCCCACACCCCAGCTGCTCCAGATACACCCGTGCCAGCCATGTCTGGTGGGGTGGGGACATTCCCCCACTGCTTCCCAAAGCTCCTGCGGAGGATGCTGGGCACCCCTGTATTTTTGCAATGACCCCCTTCTCATAAAGACACGGCAGGTGGATCTGGGATAACACACACCTGGGCTTTGCTTGAGGACTATGGACGTGCTCCTTGATGCTCCTCCTGGCATCAGGCAGCATTTAGAGCTGAGCCAAGGCTAGAAAATGCTCAAGATCCCTCCCTTTTCTGGCCTTATGAAGCGCTTTTAAGCTATGTGAGCTTGCGGAAGAGGACAGGTGAAAGCTAGTGTCAGCTTAGTGAGGTCTCCAAGAGGCAGAAGAAAACCCTACATCTTCCTAACTCAGGTTGCAACTATTATTCAGGGCAACTCTTTCCTCAGATTTGTACGTAAGGATTTTATTTGCATCTCCGGGCAACCGAGGTTTGGTACCTACGGCTCCTTGTCTCCACCGGCGGAGCAGATGACATAGGCTCCTCCAGGAAAGCTCAGCTTTTGCTGAATGGTGCACTCAGAAACCTCCTGAACACCTCTTCCCTTCCAGTTCAGGGCGTCTGCCCCTCTTATCTAAGCACCTGGAGGCTGCCATTTTATCTATATATGCATATGAAGAGTGGTGGTGCTCACCTGCGCTCAGGGCACGTGGGACCTCTTCCATGGTGACTCCGGTGGAGAGGGTGGTTTTTCCAGTGGCCATGGCCTCAGCTGCAGTGGGGCTTGTCACAGTCACTGGTGGGGACGTTGGCTCCACAGCCAGGCTTGATGCCACAGCCAGCGTCTCCAGAGAAGGGACATCCTTGGTCAGTGCCGGTGGCTGGGTGGTGTGGGGACTCATGAGGACCGGCGTTGGGGACAAAACCATCCCAGGGGATGAGTTCAGGTCGCCGGTGGGGAGGGAGGAGGATGGCGATGATGCAGGTATACCCGTGGGGCTGGGAGCTGCCCCCAGATCCGTAGTGCCTCTTGCCAAGCTGGCAGTATTTGCTGTCCGAAGACCTGGGTCTGTGTCCAAGGTTGGTGGCCTCGAGCTGGGGTTGAAGGCTACAGATGGGCTGTCTGTTGTGGTTATGGTGGCCACAGGCATGAAGCTCATGGTGATGGAGGCAGGAGCAGGGGACAGTGCCACCGCAGGGGTGGTATTGTGGCCATTCCCCTCCGTTGGCCCAGAGGACATCCCATCTCCAGCAGGTCCTGTGGATGTGGGCAGCGAGGGCTGGCCAGGAGCTGGCATGGGGACAGCTGCATCCCTGGAGCCCAGTCCCGATGGGGTCCCCTCTGAGGGGAAGGGAGGGCTGGCAGGTGCAAGGGGCGATGCTGTGGAGTCATCACCCAGTCCTAGGAGCGAGACAAAGAAATATTAATAACAGGGAAATCCTTGGAGCAACCTTAGCTTTGGGTGAACACTGAAAGGTTTGGGAATGAAGCTGGAAATGAGTTAATTGGTTTTAAAATGCTGAGAGCCATCTCAAATAAAACGATGGGAAATATCCCTGCATCGCTAGAGGTGAGGTTTAAACCAGACCAGCTGCCCCAGCATGGGTCAGCACCATTTTTCCCCAAGGCTGAGATCCCCTGCATCTCAAAATACCCCCTCCTTCATCTTCCTAGCATCTCCTCCCAGCAGCCAGCAAAGCAGTAGGGGAGCAAGCTCCTCCTCAACAGCAACCCCCGCGCAGCTGGGAATGATAACACAAGATGCCTCTCTCTCCTCTCCCCCCGGTTTCCTTGTGCATTCATTCATTCGACTCCATTTCTTAGCACCAAGATGAGTCATTTTTTCCTCTATTCCCACCAGCAGACTGCTGGGGCTCTCCCCCACCATCCTTTCCGCTACCCAGGGCTAAACTCAGCACTGGGCCAGCGCTGCCAGCTCCCTCGGCACGGTGGGGCCAGGGGAA